GTTCGGTTTCTTTTTTTTTTAAAATTAGTTTAGTCCGTTCGGTTCGATTTCTGAAAAAATAAATTCGGTTAAACCGAACCGAATATATGTTACTAATTAGGACTTAGTTGGGTGTTGTTTCAGAATTAAGACTTAGTTTCTGTCTTTCAAACTTCAGTTTTGTTTTTTTTTTACTTTTTGGTGTGACTTGTGAGTTGTGAGATTTTGGTAATTTGGTTGCATTTTTATGGTTGATGTGATTTGTGAACTTGTGAAAAAAATTATTATGGTTTGGAACATGTGTTGTGAACTTATGTACAATTTCGGTTTTCGGTTTAAAACCGAACAGAAGCGATAATTTCGGTTCGATTTTAGTTCGGCTATTAAAGATTATTCGATTCGGTTCGGTTTCATATTGTAATACAATTTCGATTTTCGGTTTTTTTCGGTTCGGTTCGATTTTCGGACCGAACCGACCGATGCTCACCCCTATATATGACACTTAAAATGCGTTTAAATAAATTAACACAACTATTTATACAAAAAGTTGTGTGGTTAGTAAAACATATCATATTCTCTAATTACATAAATAATACTAATAATTTTATTAATATGTTATTGTATATATAAGGTTGACTCCACTATAGAGCCAATTTTTTCATTCATAACAAATTGTAGTACCAGTACTACAGTATACCAATGTTAATTTAACTTCTAATGGACTATGAAATTAACAATTATGCTAAATATATGGATAAATAAACTCGAAAATAACATAATGTTGAAACATGATTAGAATTTCAAATATAACATTCAATTTCATTTTATGTTATACTTATTTAATATCTATTTTATTTAATCGTAAATGTGGTATAATGTGTGATTTTAATTAATTTTTTTATTTGTATTTTATATCGTATTTTGTCATGTTATTTATGACATTATGGTGTTTTATAGTTGTATCATATCATCTCTATATTTTTGTGTTGTGTGAGTACAACTGTCAAATGAAACGAGCCACGTATGAACTCGGTTCATTGAAACTTGAGTTCGACTCAACTTGGTTGGTAAACGACCTAAATGTAATGCGTTTAATTAATAAAGCCATATCGATACACCTCACTAAAGCTTAAAAGTAAGATTTATAATATAATTGTCTGTAGACTGTCTTGTTAAGACTGTGAAAATTTAAACTTAAATGGTAAATATTGAAAACGAGTCAAACACGAACTCAATTATCAGTACGTCTATTTTACAATTCAAGTCGATAAAGACGCATGCATGTTCAAGCCTTGTTTACATTTCTTCAAGTGAGCTAATGTCATATTTCTAAGAACCGGGTCGGACTGGTTGGTAAGTTTAGGAACCGGTCCCCTACACGGTCCGATACTTTTGGAAAAATAAGTTGCAAAGTACTAGGTTAAGAATTGCTCTTTGATTGGTTGAACTGGTCAAAAACCATTCGGTTGGACCGAATGTCGTTTTTAGTTTTTTCTTTTTTAATTTTATAATTTTATATTTTTTAAAGTATTTTGTAATATAAATAAATACTTATTTTAATCAATCAGTTTAATTATTTAAATGTTTAAAATCACCAAAATATTTAATAGAAAATGTTTTCATATATAAATTTTATTAATTAAAATATAATATATATTTAGAAAACGTAAATAAACTAAATATCGATTCAACTGATTCAACCAACCAATGTATCATCAAATTTGATAATTGATCTGATTTTTAGAATTTTAGTCACCTAAATAAAAAATAAAACTCGCATATTGAAACCCACCAAACAAGACCTAACCTTTCCATTGGGAAAATTCCCAAAAAACGAATATCCGAATAATACCCTCATTTCAAAATGGTCACACAACTTACAAGTCATAGTCTCAATTTCCTTCTCCGTGTTGAATTCCATTATTATTATTTAATTTTTTTTTTTTT